TCTGCTTACGTCGCATCTGAAACAAGCAAATATTTTAGCTGCTGTACGTTGTTTTGAACCCTTTGCATGTTTTTTTTTGTCACACCTCTACATGTCTACCGGTATGTAGTACCTTAACATCAGCAGATCCAGCGCCTCAATATGCACATTCTGTAGTTGATGCCCATTGCGAAACCAGTTCATCCCTCTTAACTTAACTGTCTTAACTGTCCCTTCACTGTCTAGCCCCCTCGTCATTCGCAGCCCGTTCGAGTTGCGTGAGCGGCAATTCTTCGATCCACGTATCTCGATTTAGTTCCATCGCGATCTGTTGAATTTGTGCCATCGGTTCTCTCAACTCGACGTCGCGCGCACACGCGGCCCGTTCAAGTTGCGTGAACGGCAAGTCTTCGATCCACGTATCCCGATTTAGTTCCATCGCGATCTGTTGAAGTTGTGCCAACGGTTCTCTCAACTCGACGTCGCGCGCACACGCGGCCCGTTCAAGTTGCGTGAACGGCAAATCTTCGATCCACGTGTGGCGATATAGTTCCTCGTCCGCACCATACCGTTCACTCGCGACCGCGGCAGACATCAACGACTCTTCGGGTGTCGAAGTGGCTCTGGACATGGACGGCCTCGACTCCGCTCCCACAAACTCAGTTCCAATGATGGCCAAGCATTGTACGCATCCATCATTATTGCACTGTCCAGGTCCGGATTGAGGGATGCTAACAATGCCTCAATGTTGATGTCGCCATCATCGTTCGACTCATTTTGTCCGTCGGCGATAAAATTGTTAAGCATGGTTTGCGAGCCCATGCTAACAATTTCCACGGATACATCATTCGCCGAAGTACTAGGCATCGACATTGTTCGAGGGCACTCGGTCATCGAAGCGCGAACGGTTTCAAGTGGTGGCACAACCTGAACATTTTGTAGTATACGTACAACACGGGGCTTCAACAGTTTTTCTAGAATTGGGCGCTGACTATCGGAGAATGTGCAGTACTTGCACTGCTTTCCAGGCGCACACAGACACTCTCTTGAGCACATTTTGGCAACCTAACACAGAAAACAATTTTATAATATACTATTTTACTGATGCGTCCAATATGGAGCGTTTAGACTGCAGTGACGGGGTGTACCATCGACACTGATATAAATACATGTCCCTCCTACCCACCTTTCACGACTTTCTACCTTCGCGATATCTACCATCTGCCTTTTAATTAACAGTCAAAATTTATTACCCCATAATCGTTTATGCTCGATTTTACATTTCACAACATCCCATAATTATACTTTCGCGATCTCGATTTTCCACCATCTGGCAACGGAGGAAAGGGAGCATCTATATATATTCACTCTGGTCTCCTTTCCATTCCTTCGCGTCTCAGTCATCGTCATGGATGGTCGCGATCAAGATGATCTGTATGTCTTCCATGAAGATGGCTGGGCTAGTCCGCTCAGTTTTGACAGCACAGAATCCACATTAATTTTATTCAATGAGGGAGGTGTTGCACCCGATGTCGGTAATGCTCTGTTAGCAGACGTAGCCGACATCGAGTCTGACGAGGAAACTGAGGGTGAAGATGCGGAGGAGTCACCTTCGTCAGAGAGTGAGTAGGAAGGTGGATTGGAGATTGAAGATTTCCATAACAACCTTGCTCCTCTTGACGAACCACTCGAGGTTGACATTCCAGAAGCAGTTCGGATTGACAATCTCGTATGGGATCTCGATGATCCATCCACAGATTCAGGGTATACCAGTCCTTAATCATGGATGGATCGTTATGCATTTTAGTTTTAAGGAATTATGTCTAAGATTTTATTTGTAAGGTTGTAGGCTTTAAGGTTTATGTGAAACATATAAATAAAAAATAAAAACACTAGAACCATTAACTATCTATTCGTTAGCCGTAAGACCATAAACCCAAACCCAATAAAAGAGTTTACAACATCTATGCATTCTTATTATTATTACATCAATTTCATGTTCATAAACTTATTTTAAAAATTTTAAAATTTTCTTTAACGTGTCATTTACACCCACATCATTGTCTCTAATGACTTTATGCTTTTGTTGTATTATTGTTTATGTCTTCCAATTACCCATACCCTCGATTCCTATAAGTATTTTACAGAAATGGCTTAGTTAATGTTAGGGGTAATACCTATACCCCTATATCTTTTTCCCTGGTGATATTACAAGAATTTGTTATTAGCATTTCCATCTCTATATTACCACTCCATTTCATTTCACTACATATTTTTATGAAATTATACCATCTAGGTTAGGGGTAATTCACCCTTATATCTGTTTTCCTGGTGATACTACAACGTTTTGTTACTCACCCTCCCCCCTACTCCAGCGGCCAGCGCACAACCCCCCTCCCCCCCCTTCGATAGTGATTACCCCCCATTTGAGCTCAAAAATACCCTTATCTCAATTTCATCCCCCGGGGGTGAATTTTCCTTTTTTTTTTCTCTCTTATTATTACTCCTAAAATTCTTCTGTTGACGCCTAAATTCATCAAAAAATTCAAACTTTTAGATATATCTATTACGTGTCTTATTCTATGAGTACTTACACCCCTACATTTTTTTTTCCTTTTTTTGCTCTTTTTTGTAAACTTTTCTATTTAACATTTTCACTATTATAAATACATTCTACTACGACATACTTTTAACGACTTAAACATTTCAACACCTATACTTTATTTTTTACTACCCCTCTCATCCCCCGAGCCCACTACTCTTCTCTAATTATGTTTTTATATCTCTTCACGATACCAGTACTTGTTCCCATTTAATTTGATACCTCACTTGACTATATCCGTATACTTCCTTCTACTATCGGGGGCTGCTACCCCTTTACAAAAATTTTTAATATCTCCGTTGTTTGGTTACCGATCAATTTCAAACTTTTACCAAACTGTGCTTTGATTTTTTTACAATTTTTTTTTCACCCCTTTCTAGGGGTTGTCACCCCCAATTGCTTTAATTTACATTTATCACTATATTTTTTATTTTTTCACTGATTTTTGAAATTTTTCAAACTACCTGTCTTGTATTTGCATCCCTACACTCAGTATCTTCACTCACCTTATCACACCGCCTGTTTTTCCCTATGACTTCGACACCTTCCTTCTTCGGCAACTATATAGCTGCTTCGCTCCCAATGGACTGTTGTCACACTGACGTACACTGCTCGATGCTATTCTTCTTTCACAATACAAGCACTTTGCTAGGTGCTTACTATGTATGTGCATCTTATTAACATATCCATCATCGTAGATACTAAATAGAGCATACTTTGCTCCTATGATACACCTTTCACATACTATGGAGCTCATCATGCTCGTACCAATGTAGTAATACTGCTGACAACGTTCTTCGCTCCATTCTACACCCCTCGCATAGCTTTCTTGACACACGCTCCATTCTACATATGCATTTCTCACACTTCCTTCATAACTCAATCCGTATGGATAGCGCACTCTATGTCCATCTTGCAGTTCACTCCATTTAATTAGAAATCCATTCCCTCCTGACATCACCCCACTGGCTAGTCCTCCTCGTACTCCTACGTTTTCCAAATCTTATGGGGAGTCTAACAAAGACCACATACACTTCTCCTCGTCCTTCTCATTCGTATCGTAAATCCAGCCTATCTTATGGGGACGATGTTGCATACACGTCCCACAATAAACCAGAAATATGCTGCAACAGCACCACCCACACGCCCAGCGCCACCCCTTAGAGTACTTCTACCGTTTCTCCGTTTGACACACTAAGCACCGACTTTTCTTCACTATATTTACCATGCTATTGCAATGCTTGCAACAACTGAACTGTCTCCTCTCCGAGCGCTGCACTAATTTAAACACATATTTCCAAGGTCATACCTTCTAACACTCACGACTTCAAGGTCACATTTCAAGGTCATATTTCAAGGTTATATTTCAAGGCCATATTTCGATTCAAGGTCACATTTCAAGGCTATATTTCAAGGTAATATTTCAAGGCTATATTTCAAGGCCATATTTCGATTCAAGGTCGCATTTCAAGGCTATATTCCAAGGTTGTATTTCAAGGCCATGTTTCAAGGTTACATTTCAAGGTCACATATCGAGGTTAAATATGCGTTCAAGGTTGGCTCCCAAGGTCGACTCTCCAAGCGTTCTAGAACAGACAAACCCTACCTAGTCATCAACATCCAAAAAATATATCATTTTCAAAACGTCCGCCACTGAGCGTGGGCGGTGAGGTATCAGGGATCAATATACTTACGACAGTAACTTTAAATCATTATATGCATGTCTGTCATACTTTATGGCAGATAATTCCAAACATCAAGCTAACTGATTTTCATATTTGGACAACCCTAAGCTTGAGGTAGATTTTTTATAGAACTGAACCGGTTTTCAGTTTGGTGAGATACGTCAATTCGAATGCGCTTAAAACAACATTGATAACAGGTCGATGTCACTATTACTTACATAAACAAATCCATTTTCTGTACACTCGGAAATTTTGCTGCCATAATGGTTCCAGCACAAGCAGTTGATGTAATCGTCGTTCACGTCAAATTTTGCCACTATCTTGTAGTCAAATGTTGCAGGTAGTTTGCTATGATCCAAAATGAGAAGTCTTTTCCCATTTGGCGTGCATGTATAGGTCATGCAGAATTAACTCTTAGTAGTATCGCTGGTATTACAGTGGATTCCAGATCAAGCATGTCAGCTTATGCTCTGCCATTAGTAAATCGATTTGGATTAGTTCTTTTGAATAAACAAGTATCAGTCCCAAGTTAAAAGCAATCAGAAGGGTCGAATAACCTAACTTCCAGTCGGATGTATACACGGAGAAAGTATCTGGCGTTTTAGCTGGTGTAATCGCTAGGAAATAAAATAATTTGTAATGAATTACTATGTAATAGTATTGATTAAAGTATTTTATCCGAAGATAGCCCTAATGATATATTCCCGCGTTAAAAAAATTATCCGTGAGAAATTTGTCACAGGTGTCTTTCTATTTACTATATATATATATATATATATATATATATATATAACTTGAGACGTGGTCATTGTCGTCTAGGCCAGTTAGGTGAAAAATTAAAGCTTCCGCCTTTTGTTGGGTACTTCGACAAAATTTAAGCAAAGAGGACTCTTTATACTTTTTTAATTCTCTCTAGCTTTCAATGGACTTTGCCATCATCATCAGGAGCTGCAATTACAATGATAACAGTAGCAACAAAAGTGTAAAATGAATTCAAATTGACTCAACTTACAGTAGTATGTGAAGATGTTGCTAATTGTTGTTTACGTATAGGATGAGGGAAACGTCCAGTAACATGGTGAGAGCTGGATAGATGGTACAATGGTCAAAATTATATAAAATATGACAAGAACAAGTTAAAAACAGATTAAAATTATTTAAAAAACATTAGAGCATTACATCGTGAAGCCACTTGATGATTGCATAAAATGGTGGTCATGGAATAGTGAGTGAGATGAAACCCTTTGACAGAAGGCCTAAGGTTGTCAATGTCTGTGTTGAAAGATGGAACGAATTGTGGGCGTGTGCCAAACGTTGCCAAATCATTTCAGATGATGTGATTTTCAGAATGTTATGTGAGAAATTGTTAAACCGACCAGAGGCAGTTGAATAAACTATATTTTAATTAATGAAATTTAAATTAACAATTATTAATAAATCGTGAGAAGAGAATTATTATATTTTGAGTGGAATGAAATTTACTGGTGGAATCGGCCAAAACACAGATTCTATTTATGGTTGTGAAGAGTCGAAATTTGGGGAGATATGTAAGTTCTCCAATTTTTCGCAGTTTAGCAAATATGAGTAAATGACACTCAGTTGTTTAACATCTGTCCTTTTTGTTGATACAGTTGTTATTCATGAAAATGTAGGACATTTCCAGGAATAAACGTTTGGAAAGGTGTTTTTCTTTATCAAGAACTTTGATACTTGTGTAATTCATAGAATGCCCTGTTGTGTTAACATGAGATGCTAGAGCGCATCTTTCAGGATGAAGCCTAGCATCACTTTTGTGTGATGTAATCCTTCCTTTAAGAGATCTGGAGGTCTAACCTATGTATATTTGGTTGCAGTTGTTACAATTGATGGAGTAGACTGTGTTGGTTAAGCCAAGCAGCGGGACTTTGTCTTTCATTTTTGAAAAAATGCAGTTTATAGTGAGGACGGATTTGCAAGCAATTCGAAAGTTCAAAGGACTGCACAATCTGATCAGCTTAGGGGTCAGTTCCTTGATATGTTTACGCCTGTTCTTTGCTGTCAAAGTGGTGGAGTTAGTTCGTCCAGAGCTAGTCGATGGCATGGAGGAACTAGTGCTAGCAATGTCTGAGAGTTCTTCTTCCGTATTTCGATTGTAGATGCCCAATGCGTCTAGCTCGAACCTGTTCATCTGTTCCTTTCTTGCGATCTTCAGACGCCTTCTGTACCGTTCAAAGCTGATCCTTGAACGACAACAGTTTTCTTAGGTCGCCTAGATATTTGCTCAAACCGTCGGCAATAGTAGGCAGTTCTAAATCAAGACCCAGTGATACTGCTAGGCATATGGCGTGCCTGAAGGACTTGAAG